AATGATACCTCCAGCTCCCATATGATTATAACTGCATAGTGTATTTCTCAGCAGTATGTAAATAAGATTCTGTGAAAATTTCATTGAATTTTAGTTAGAGTTCTGTAGGAGTTGTCTTAAAAAAAAAATAGGAGTCCCCTTTGACGAGTGAAATGGCAAAGTTTATGTTTTCTATGGGAAATCCCAAATATCTGCCTGATAAAAAACGTAAAATGAGAGAATCAAAATGGAGCTACGTAATAAAGATTATGTAAAGGTTTCAAGAAATTTATTCAGTGGAATAGGAGGAGCTATGGATATGAAATGGGTTCCCTAAATATTACAGAAAGAAAATGATAGTGTCAAAGTTTTGCTATGAGAAAGTATGTGTCCGATCGAAACAAAAATAAGTGATGCACAATGCCAATATATAAAAACAAATTTCGTGAAAGTTGCATTCAATTGGATTCAGTGGTGTAAGAGGAGATGAGGATAATGTGAGGATAAGAGATATAAATAATAATCCCCCTACCCCAACACACACACATACACCCTTTTTTAAACAAAGTGGATAAAAAGAGATTGAAGAGAGATTCTTTTGGCCTAACTCTATGATATCAAATTTTAACATGGACGCGGGAAACTGAGGAAGTCAGTTTGGCTTAAAGTTGCATCGAAAACAACAGAACGAAAAGACAGCGTGTTCTAACGACAAGCTATGTGCAAAGATATCAAGGTAGCAATTTTTGAACAATATCTAATTTGGTCGTCTTTAATACGGTTCTCCGTTTTTTTTAATTATATATTTCAAAAAGGTTTAACCTTGATTGCAGTGGGATCCTTTCCAGCCAATTTGGCAACCATCCTTACACACACCTGTTGTTCCATTACACCGGTTAGTCCATTTACAGTTTATGCTACATGTCTCATTGCAGTTGATTCCATATGTTCCTCCCAAGCATTCTAAATCAGATGAAAGATGTTTACTCACCACAGTAGTCAAAATAATCTGCATTTTTTAAACAAAACAATTTTAAATAAAATATAATGTCGCTTTTTAAATATTAGTTGAATTAAAGCAATTACAAAAGCAATTTTTTTTCATCATAGAAAGTAAACATCGATTAATTAACATATAGTATAATAACATAAAAATGAAAGAAAACTTATATTTTAATGATGAAGAAACTAAAAAAAAAGAAAGTAAGAAAGAAACAAGAGGTCAATGGGCCAAGACTTTCACTTGAGTCACTTTGGCTTTGCTGATTTTCATGAACAGATTTACCCCTATATATTCCTTTGTAGAATTGTGATCCTTTATTGTGGCCAAACCCTACCCCTGGGGTCATGATTTTAACAAATCTAAATCTACACTATAAGAGGAAGTTACCATATAAAAATGCCTGATGATAGATTTGCTGTTCTTGAGAAGATTGTCTAAGATTTTGCCTTACTATTCCTATGTAAAACATTGATTGGCCAGTTTGGCTCCGCCCTGAACCCCTTGGTCATTATTTGAACAAACTTTGATCTTCATTACCTAATGATGCTTCCAGATAAATATGACTTATCATGGCTTAGCTGTTCTTCAAAACAAGATTTTATTTTTCTCCCGATTTTTTTCTCTGTAAAACTTTGCTCCCCAATTGCGGCCAAACATGGCCCCGGGGGTCATGGTTTTGAAAAAAAAAACTTGAATCTACAATCCCTGAGGATGCTCTCATGTCAATATGCCTAATCAATGTTTTGCTGTTCTTGATGAAAGTTTTTTTAAAGATCCTTTCCTAAATATTACAATGCAAAGCTTTAATCACCTATTGTTTCTCCATCCTACCTCCGGGATCATGATTTGTACAAAATTGAATCTAAACTACTTGAAATTGATTCAATATAAATATGACTTGTAATGGTTTTGCTGTTCTTGAAAAAAAGATTTTTTGGGATCTTTTCCTAAATATTCTTATGTAAAACTGTGATCACCTATTGATGCCCCACTTTATCCGTGAGGGTCATGAATTGAGCCAACTTGAATCTACTCTACCCAAGAATGCTTTAATATAAATAAGACAAAGTATGGTATTCTTGCTCTTAAGAAGAAGATTTTTTAAGGTTTTTTTTTCCCTTTATATTCTTATGACAAACTTTGATCACCCATTGTGGCCTGGTCTTACCCCTGGGGTTCATAATTTGAAAAAAAAAAAAAATGAATTTACGCTATGTTATGAAGCTTTAACCTTAGTTTTATCTTTTCTGGTCCATTGGTTTCCGAGGAGAACATTTTTGAAAGAAGCAATTAAATTTTCATTAATTCTTAGTTATCTGCCTTTGGAGGAAGATGTGTCCCTTTATTTGAACAAACTTGAGTCCCTTTCACCCAATAGTATTCTTTGCCAAGTTTAATTGAAACGGCCTAAAGTTTGTGGTGAAAAAAATGAAAATGTGAAAAGAGTATGATTACGACGCCAACAACAATGACGACGAGAACCACAGACAAAGGGCAACTTTTGATCTGATTGATTGATTGATATTGTTTAACGCCAAGTCGGCAATATTTCAGCCATATTTCGGCGGTAAATTTTGATCTGAAAAACTCACATGAATATTCCAATCAGGTTGGCTTAAAAACTCTTTAAATTTCAATTTGTCTCCTCAACAAACTTTCAAAGTATTACCTTGGACACAAAGAGTCCCGTTGTATCCTGCAGCACAACCGTTTAAACAAGATCCGTTGATATGGTGACATTGTTCCGACTTATAGCAATACCCACAACTGATATTACATAGATCTCCAAAATATCCACCGTCACATTCTAAAAAAAACATGGAATAAACCTCCGAAGTGCTTTCTGAGTCATTGACATTGTTCCTACAGTGTTCCTAACATTGTTGTTCATTTTGTCTGATAATATTCATAGATTCATTCTTCTTTAAGTAAATTATTCGAGTCGCCGTGAAAATGGAGAAATACAGAAAACAGGCAGGTTTTAAGCGTATAATTGTACATTATACATATTTGATGTACATTGCAGGAGATTTCTACGTCATGTGTCAACTTCAACACCGAACCTTTGAAATCCATTTGAATTTTCTGTGCAATGATCTGTAAGAAAATTATTAACCTTTTTTTTCTTTTTTAAACTGCAAAAAATATTATCCCCTCACAAAGAAAGTAGAGGAGATATGATAACACGTAGTGGTTTAGTGCGTGCTTAACGGAAATAATTATTTACATCGGTAACAATGACTTTTGATATTTTTTTTTTTTTTTAAATTTATTTATTTATTTTTTTTTTTAATTAAAAAAAATATTCCATGATGTTTCTTGTATTTTTTTTTTAATTGCAATCAGATGAATATAAATAAATACAAAGTTCAGAAAGATTCGGTATTAAGATGTTACTTTTTTAAATATAAATATAAAAAGATCTAATCTGACACCTTTCAAACCGTTTAACTGTGAATTGTAATTCTAATTTTTATTCACAGTTTACTGTTTTCTATTTTGAACACAGTGCAATCCGACACCTTGTCTGTTCCGACATAAGATTTGTATTTCAGTGCATGTTGGATAAGGCAGGTTTCACTGTATTTAGTTATGTTTCCTTGACTCAAACCTAATTGCTCTTAGAAGTACCAGTGGTGAATATATCATGAAGTTTTGAAACTTTAGGCATCATGTGACATATTTTGATCAATATACCGGTAAATGAATATATTAAACTATGGAAACGTTTGAGTTAATAAAAAAAAAAACACCATGCATAGAGATTAACATTTCTCGGATTAATGTTTTAATTTCTACGGTCCCGTCGCCCAAAAGTTCCAAAGGACGACTCTGAATCACAATTCTAAGACCAAATTGTTGAAGCTGTGAGAAAGAAATTTTCCTAGGGATATAATGTTTCTCTTTTTTTAATGAAAAACATTTATACAAAAACCATCTTGTTTTGTTGTTTCTGCAATGATTATCAATTCTACAATCTAATTGTGCTGTGTTCGGTGCATATTGAATCAGGAATCAATGGAGAAGATAAGAATTTTGTATAAACTGCCTTTAACAAACAGCTTTTTTTTGTTTCGATGTGAGTAATGAGAGTGTTGTGCAAAACGAGTTTCAGAAAAAAAAGAAAAAAATTTAGAGGGGTTGCACCGCTTTGAGTTCCCCTTGTTTTTATCTTATAATTTACTTGGCTGTTGTGTACAGAAGCATCAACAAATTTTAAAACATTAAAAAGATTTATTGATTTTCTCTATTATTTCAAGCAGATAAGTTCAACCTAGATAACTTGATCAAATATAAAACATTATAGATACATATTAGCCGTGTCTTTTTTAAGCTTCTTTCAGAAGCTTAAAAAGACACAATTATACAAAGATACAAAGAAAAAAAAACTTACAGACAAGATGTGTCTAAAATTGGAAACAATCTTCTCTTAAGCCACAATAGTAATGACCCCACAATATATAGTCAGTATAAGATATAAAGATTTTTTTTAGCTGATACAAAGAAAAAAAAAACAGATAAAAAAAAAAACAATTGTTGACTTCTGTTTCCTACAATCCCTAGATATACAGACATAAGTAGAAAAATGAGCAGATAGACCTTTCATCGCGTGTTCGGTCTATATGCTTTCTCTAGGGCCTATACATATACATCTAGGGATTGCCATCATCAGAAAGCTATATTTTCATACAACATACCTTCACTACAATAGTCGCCTTTCCATCCTTGAAGACAGCCGTTCTTACAAACACCGTTTGTTCTGTTACAACCCTCTTTGCAGGTTCTATTACACATTTTTATACAATTTATTCCGAAATATCCAGGTCCGCATGCTGAAAGATACCGAAAAAAAAAAAACAGTTCAACTGTAATTTAGGGTTTTTATGACTTCTGTATATAACATTGATTAAAAAAAAATTAATTATTTTTTTGTGAATTTCTGATTTTTTTTTTTTTTTACTTTTGTTACACCACTGGCCGTCATAGCCTGCATCGCATCCTTTTAAGCACGTTCCATTTATCGGCTGACATTGAATTGGATCCAAACAATATCCACAAGGTAAAGAGCAATCTGTACCATAAAATCCACCGTCACATTCTGTAACATGAAATTTCAATGACATACAAATGTTTAACAGAATGAAAATGCATGGCCCACAATTTTACAATTCTTTGCAGTTTTGAATATAAAAAGAATTCTTGTATGAACAAAAGATCCAAAAAATACGTATAATTCACTCTACAATTAAGATTTCAACAGATGCCCACAAATAAAATCCAAATCAGCCCCTTTGATTAAATACTCAGCAAGGATATTACAAAGTACTAATCTACATTCAAAATATATGCATACCCTTAATTGTTTTAATTAAAACAATTAACTATGGCTGTTGATAAATATGCTCGACGAAAAAAAAGGTTATATATGGTTGTTTAAGTTGCAACACTATAATGTATTGCTCAAATACCTAGTACTGTAGCGTTACATATTCTAGAAAATATTGAAGAAAGGTTACAAATCTATGGCTATTTTATCCTCTTAATCTAACAAACCATGAATGATTTATATGTTTAGTAAGAAAAACATGTCAATGTTCATGCGGAGAGATAAAAAGAAATGCAAATGAAAGGGGAATTGCTGTAAGAAAATGTGAAGTAACATATCGAAGAAAAAAATAATACGATCACATAAAATTGTTAGAGACTTACTTTGCTCACATTTTTCGCCTTTATATCCTGGCTTACACTGTAAACAGTTTCCTGAGAGCTGTTCACAATGTTCTTTGCAATTTAAAGGACAGGAAAGGGAACAATCTGCTCCATAACGTCTAAAACAACCTTGTAATTATTTTCAAATATTAGATTATTCCTAATATGACCTAGAAATTAAAGTTCCGTAAACTGAATTTCTTATTTCCCCCCCCCCCCAAAAAAAAAAAAAAGAGAAAGGAAGAAAAAAATAAATCTTACCATAAACCTCGACTTCACATAGATCATTAAACGCATTCCTTGAATAACCTGTGGGGTATTTAACACCTGGAAGTCTCTTGTTATAGTAGATGATATATTGTCCAAGAAAGGGACAGCTTATGTTCAGAACAGCAGGTATGGTACTTCTTGTATAGTTTGTGTCATGGAAACATAAGTCTTCCTCACGTTTCACAGTTGTATTAGAAATGTAGATATAAAACCCGAGGAATCTAGAAGTATAACCATTTGATGCACCTGAAAAGTTAAAAAAGTATGATAATCTGTTCATGAATGAAAGTTTTCTGCGTGCCGAATTTCAATCGCACTTATTTCTTAATGGGTCTGATCTTCTTAGATATAAATTAAATAGTTTTGCAAAGTAAAACTCGGCGTATTTCAATTTGGCTTTTTTACTTATTTTTCAACAAATACGATGTTATCATTTTCACATTAAATACACTTTCGTTGTAAATAATTCTCGTTCAAACAGAATATGAACTTTCAGAAATAGAATTAGTAACCATTATTTATTTCACTATTTAAATAAAAATAAATGAAAGAAAAAGGACTAATAATGAATGCACGTACTCCAAGTTAAATTGTCTGTTCTGTAGTAAATCACAATATTACGTATGCTGACGACATCTTCTAGATTAACCCACCACTCGGCAGTCGTTTGACCATTATCTGATACGCTGCACTGTTTTCCGTGCGCAGTAAGAACTGATTTTAGTCCATCAACTGCTTTTTCAGAACCAGTAAATTTCACGTTGAATGTTGTTAATTGCTTGGTAGGTTTTTTAAGTGCAAAGTTTTCTGTAAAATTTATATGAGTTGATATGGTCAAAGAAATAACAAAAAAGTAGCACAGAATTGAATTTTAATTCACAGTGGCCCATCAATGAATTTTCCCCCAAAAGTGTCCTCCCAAATTGCAGATAACAAACAGTTTTGACATGCGATACATACCCACAAACGCGACAAAGATATGAGAAAATGCGCCATTTGGGCAAGAATCATGTAGTATACATTTGGAAGTAATTTCCTTTTATGACATTTAGAGATCGGACTCAGGGTGAATTAAGGTATTACACCAGCAGGATTTATTTTACTGCATTATGATAGCGTCCCAGAGTAGTCCGGGTGCTGATGGTACATTAATGTTAAAAAAGGAAAGATATTTCAGAAACCAGTCAGTTGTAAATACGAACTCACACAAGAAGGTAGTATTAAAAAGCAGGTACCGCGGCGTATTAAAAGGCCTTTATGGTTAAGTTTTTTTTACGCAGTGAAATTTTGGCTACTCATGAAGAATGATATGATAAGTCATAATGTGGTGTGACTCAATGGCAGGTATTCTACCCTAAAAGATCTATATAAGTAGATAGAGTTCATAAAAAGCTATTTTACGCAATTGGAAAAATATATAAAGAATGTCTGTCTTAAAATACATAAATATGTAAACACTAGATATTTTCCTTTGTATAAAACATCATGTCAAAATGATTCGCTTTTTACTGTGTCGTTTGCTGCGCACAGCTTCAGTCAAGCGCTTGAACTCAATGACACAGAGAGACGACAGCAGCTGTGATAAGCATTGAAAAATGCAGCAGTCGAATTCTTTTAAAGGAACAGGGTTACAATCACAGACGTGGGTTTTATTTATTTCTTTTAGGATGATTGATTGTATGTTGTTTTACGTCCCATTCGAGAATTTTTCACTCATATAGAGACGTCACCATATACCGGTGAAGGGCCATTGAGCAGTGAGGGTTCTTTATCGTGCCAACGCCTGCCGTGACACGGGGCCTCGGTTTTTAAGGTCTCATCCGAAGGACCCGCAACTTTCACTTCAAAGTGCCGAGCGCATGGCGAAGAAACAGTTGCTACTCATTTTTTATCGACTGAGGTCAGTCGCGGCCGAGATTCGAACTCACGACCTCCCGATCACGGAGCGAGCGCTTTCTTTTAGGAGGAAATGATGAAGATATTTAAAGAAAGAGTAGTGTGTACCCCCTCCCGCTCATTTACATTTCCTTTACATGGGTACCTCCTATATACATATTATTGTTGATACCGATGTGAAATAATAAAGAGTGTGTTTGTAAGATAAGATGTAGATATATTTAAATATATTTAAATTATTAAATATAAGATGTATTTAAATGGATTAGAAGATGTATTAGTAAATATTTACGTAGCAATGGATATCTGCAGTCATGCCAAAAATAACTCTTTAATTCTGATTTAGGAGGCTCATTACACCAAGAAATTATTTTAAGTTTTATTACAGCACCACTTATAATGTAGATTAAAATATCCAAATGGAGATTATGATACCATAAATATGTTTTTAGTGAATTTTTTGAACTTTTTTTTATTTTAGTTAAATGTTTTATTTCAAGTTTATTAAGGTCTTTCGTCTTCACGGAAGACCTTATGGTGATTCTACTGTTTATTATTATTATTATTATTATTCCTAAATTTTGTGCACGCGATTTCTCAGCAACTATTCAGTGGTTTTCAATGAAATTTTCAGGAATAATGCGCATCTATGGGAAATTGATACGTCTCGGGGGGATTTTGAAAATTCGCTTCCGGTGCCACGTTATGGACAAATTCCTGATTTTAAAATGAAATTTTGTCGCCCCTTTTTTTCAAAAATGGCTAAAGATATGAACTGGAGACTTGTTGGAGATGATAGTGCATGACTTATAGGTGAACAGAATTACCTTTTCGTTTGTCGTTGGCACTTCTGGTCGCTTACGGAAGTGATCAAAGAAATCGTAAAATTTCAACTTTCCTTTTTTAATTCAATACTTACAACACATTATTGCATCTCTTTTGTAGTTTCGAAATATGTTTGTCCGACCGGAAATAAAAACTTCAACTTCCGGTTATAAGAGAAAAACTACATAATTTGAGTATCTTTTCTTTCCCATTAATATCCTTTGTAGATAAAGTAATTGAAATGAATTTTAAATATGTTATTCAGACTGCAAACATCTAGAGTAACGTCAAATATCTTTTTAAAATTCACTTCCGGTCGCGCGTTTTTCTGTCCTCAAATTGAGAAGTTGTCTGAGCAAAATCTCGGAAACGATGAGAGATTTAGACACCAAACTTATATGAGCAACAGACCTTATGATGTAAGTAAAACCATTTGGGTTCAGAGCGTCAGCCGTCACTTCCGGTCGTCACAGGAAGTGATCAAAGAAATGGAAAATTTTCTAGTTTTCTTTTTTTAATTAAAAATTGCATCTTTTTCGCAGATTCGAAAGATGTTGGTCCCACCGGGAAAAAAAACAACTTCCGGTTATAAGAGATAAACTACATAATTTGAGTATTTTTCTTTCCCATAAATATCCTTTATAGATTAAGTTTTTGAAATGAATTTTAAATATGTCATTCAGAAGGCAAATGTCTAGAGTAACCCTTAATATATTTCAAAAATTCACTTCCGGTCCCGTGTTTTCCTGTTCTTAAAGTGAGAAGATTCTGCGCGAGATCTCAAAAACAGGTAAAAGATTAAAATACAAAACTTTTATGAGTAATAGACCTTGAGGAGTAGACAAAACCATTTGGGCTAAACGCGTCAGTCCTCACTTCCGCTTGCTACAGGAAATGATCAAAGAAATCAAAAATTTAAACGTTTCTTTTTTAAATTAAAACTTCAATCACTTTATTGTATCTCTTTCGCTGTTTTGAAATATGTTTGATTCAACCGGAAACAAATACGTCAACTTCCGCTTTTTGGAGATAAACTACGTTATTCTTATATATTTAACTTTCTCATAAATATTGCTTATCGATAGGTACTTGAAATAATTTTATGTATGTTGTAGATACACTGTACTGCAAATGTCTAGGGAATAGTCAGAGATTTTTATAAACTTCACTTACGGTCGCGTGTTTACCTGTCCTCGAAATTAGAATTTGTTCTCACAATATTGCTCGGCAACAGTAAATGACTGAAGTCTTAAACTTTCAGGACCGATAGTCAGTCATCAGTATATTTGAATCGTGAGATAATCTTGTATCGCCCTTACTTCCAATCGTGACAGGAAGTGATGCAAAAAGGTGAATGATTAATGGTTAGCACGTTGGATTTTTACGCTAAAGACCAGGGTTAAATCTTCAGAGTGTCTGAATTTCTTTTATCACTTTTTCAGCTTGAATTTTCGTTTTTTTTTTTTTTTTTGTTTTTTTTTTTTTCAGAATCGGACGGAAGACCTCTCTTTGCTCGCAATGAGTTTCTAGTTAAGGTCTTCCGTCTTCACGAAAGACCTTATAGTGATTCTACTGTTTCTTATTATTATTCTTTTTTTTTTTTTTTTTTGACAAAATTTTGTGCACGCGATTTCTCGAAAACTATTCAGTAGTTTTCAATGAAACTTTCACAAAACATGAGGTATAATATGAACTTTGTTCATCACAAGTAAAATTTGGAAAATTTGCTTCCGGTTCCAAATTATGGGCAAATTCCTGATTTTTAAATGAAATTTTGTCCGGGGCGTATCTAAAGAACGACTAAAGATATGAACTGGAGACTTATTAGAAATTACAGAACATGTCTTTAAGATTACCAGAATTGCCTTTTCGTGCGTCGTCAGTACTTCCGGTAGCTACCGGAAGCGAATTAAAAAAGTCAACTTTTTTGTTTTTCAATATATTTCGATGATATTAGTACGGTTAATAGAGATTCTTTTCAGAAGACATAATATATAATTTGTTTGAAAATCGATCATAAATATTATAAATATTACAGATATTATGCACGCGATATATCGAGAACTGTTCAGTGGTTTTTCGTCAAACTTTCAGGGATTATGCTGTATGATATATGATATATAGGGATTATGATATATTTACAAAGCCATTGTTAAGTTTGAAAGAATTTTGGAAAAATTCACTTCCGGTTGCATGTTACGGGCAATTTCCAGATTTTTAAAGGAAATTTTGTCCGCGGCGTATCTAAAGAACGACTAAAGGTATGAACTGGAAACTCATTAGAGATTATAGAACATGTCTTTAAGATTACCAGAATCGCCTTTTCGTGCGTCGTCAGTACTTCCGGTCGCTACGGAAGCGAATTAAAAAAGTCGAATTTTTCAACTTTTTTTTTATTTTTCAATATATTGTGATGATATTAGTACGGTTAATAGAGACTCTTTTTAGAAAACATAATAAATGATTTGTTTGAAAATTGATAATAAATATTATAATTATTTTTTTATTTTTATTTTTTAGACAAATATTATGCACGCAATATCTTGAGAACTATTCCGTGGTTTTTCGTCAAGCTTTCAGGGATAAAACCGTTGTTACATTTGAAAGAATTTTGGAAAAATTCACTAACGGTTACATGTTACGGACAAATTCCTGATTTTTAAATGGATATTTTTCCGCTGCAGGTCTAAAAAAACAGCTTAAGATTTAAACTGGAGACTAACTGGAGAGCATATAACATGACTTCTAGATTTGCGTATTTGTCTTTTTGTGCGTCGTCAATAGTTCCGGTCGCTATCGAAAGCGAATTAAAAAAAGTCGATTTTTTCAACTTTTTTGTCTTTCAATATTTTTAATGATTTTTTTTAGGGATAATAGAGACTCTTATAAGAAATGGTCCCACACGCGTAGTGGTTATTGTGTTCAATTTTCACGCGGGCGACCTGGACTCAATCCCCAGAATGTCTGGACTTTTTTGTAGCTTTTCTTCAGCTGAAATATAATACTGTATCTTTGAAATATCTGGTATAATTTTCTGTTCGAATTACGCAATATATTTTTACATACAATTTACGTTTTATAGTATTTAATTTACGAAGGAGTTAAAAGGAATGCAAAACGTAATACATTTAGTATTATGAGTGAGGAATCAACTTCTCTCATAACGGAAAAGGGACGGAAGACCTTCTTGTTGCCATGGCAACGAGTTTCTAGTTATTATTATTCTTTTTTTTGACAAAATTTTGTGCACGCGATTTCTCGAAAACTATTCAGTAGTTTTCAATGAAAATTTCACAAAAATGAGGTATCATGTGAACTTTATTCATCACAAGTAAAATTTGGAAAATTTGCTTCCGGTTCCAAATTATGGGCAAATTCCTGATTTTTAAATGGAATTTTGTCCGGGGCGTATCTAAAGAACGACTAAAGATATGAACTGGAGACTTATTAGAGATTATTGAACATGTCTTTTAAATTACCTGAATTACCTTTTCGTGCGTCGTCAGTACTTCCGGTCGCTACCGGAAGTGAATTAAAAAAGTCGAATTTTTTAAGTTTTTTTTTTTTTTTTTTAATATTTTTCGATGATATTAGTACAGTTAATAGAGACTCTTTTCAGAATGCATAATATATAATTTGTTTGAAAATTGATTATAAATATTATAATCATTTTTAATATTATTTAGACAAATATTATGCAAGCGATATCTTGAGAACTATTCAGTGGTTTTCCATCAAACTTTTAAAGATAATGCGATTTAAAAAGCCATTGTTACATTTGAAAGAATTTTGGAAAAATCACTTCCGGTTCCATGTTACGGGCAATTTCCTGATTTTTAAATGGAATTTTGTCCGCGGCGTATCTAAAGAACGACTAAAGGTATGAACTGGAGACTCATTAGAGATTATAGAACATGTCTTTAAGATTACCAGAATGGCCTTTTCGTGCGTCGTCAGTACTTCCGGTAGCTACCGGAAGCGAATTAAAAAAGTCAATTTTTTCAACTTTTTTGTTTTCCAATATATTTCAATGATATTAGTATGGTTAATAGAGACTTTTTTCAGAATGCATAACATATAATTTGTTTGAAATTTGATAATAAATATTATAATAATTTTAAATATTTTTTAGACAAATATTATGAACGCAATATCTTGAGAACTATTCAGTGTTTTTTTTCGTCAAACTTTCAAGGATGCTTTTCAAAAGCCATTGTTACATTTGAAAGAATTTTGGAAAAAATCACTTCTGATTCCACGTTACGGGCAATTTCCTGATTTTTAAATGCATTTTTTTCCGCTGCAGATCTAAATAACGGCTAAAGATATGAACTGGAGACTTATTAGAGATTATAGAACATGACTTCTAGATTTGCGTATTTGTCTTCTTGTGCGTCGTCAATAGTTCCGGCCGCTACCAGAAGCGAAATAAAAAAGTCGGTTTTTCAACTTTTTTGTGTCTCAATATTTTTTAATGATTTTATTAGGGATAATAGAGACTCTTATAAGAAATGGCCCCACAAGCGTAGTGGTTAGCGTGTTCAATTTTCACGCGGGCGACCTGGACTCAATCCCCAGAATGTCTGGGTTTTTTTGTAGATTTTCTTCAGCTGAAATATAATACTGTATCTTTGCAATGATATCTGTATAATTTTCTGTTCGAATTACGTAATATATTTTTACATACAATTTACGTTTTATAGTATTCAATTTATGAAGGAGTTAAAAGGAATGCACAACGTAAAACAGATAGTATTAATTTATGAGTGAGGAATCAACTTCTCTCATGACGAAAAAGGGACGGAAGACCTTCTTGTTGCCATGGCAACAAGTTTCTAGTTATAAATAGAATTGTAGAAATTTTAGTATCAAGTGATGGACATATTCTTTAGACATATACACAAAGTGACAATACACAGTACAGTGCGAAATGGAAATACCGGCGTTTTTTATGAAACAAAATATATTCTTTTTCAGGATGGCGATTTTTAGTTCTTTTCTAATATCGGACAAATATGATTATGGTTATTAACTACATACTGAGGACGATTAGATTTTCTATTTAGATTTGTCACGTGATTTTAACACATATACTTGCAGTATTGAGGTTGCCTATAAATGTCAATAGTGCAAGGGCATAACCAAGTTAAAATTCAAATTTTAATTTTTAAATAGTTTCAACACCCATTATAGTTTATGAAGTGCTGCGATCCTATATAGATTCTACTATTTCATTGTTAAAATCATATTTGTATGAACGCATGCTGAATGTTTTGCTGGTCAGCTTCATTAAATATAGAAATAATTAATTCAGTTTCAAAATTTCAATAGGATCGCAGCAATTTTCAAATATCTTAATACTTCTAGAGTTTATGATTAAAAACTTGTCATGATCCATTGAGGGTATGCCCTTGCACTAGATCGATTTGTCAAGACCCTTAGATCATCCTCAAATGTACCTGCATACAAATATACGGCAGTATCCGTTAATTAGGAAATGTACGGGAAATATATGAACAAATTGATAAATAGGACATTGCTTCCAAATTAATGGCCTCCTAAAAATCTTCAAATAATATTTTATTTATTTATTAAGGACATACGCAACGTAGTTTGAACTTCATTGCCTTTTTCCCTGGAGTTCCAATACTTAGAGGAATTGTGTGCTACATTTTAATGTCTATATATGCTGTTGTACACTTCTTCTAAACCAAGTTTGGGTGAAAAAACATCTGGAATATATGTTTAGTAATTTTTGTATATTTTTCTTTGAATTATACAAGAATTTTCATCTATTGATATCTTTTCAAAAATCCTGGTAATACAGGCTGATTTTTTGTCTACGTACATCTGATGACACTATAATCTTAAATTAAGAATATCTTGGAATATTATCAGTAGGTAAGGTACGTTGCGTATGTCGTTAAATACATTTCTCCGTTGTGAAAATATTACTTGATCCGCCTCTCACTGCATTTAAACTGCGTCAAGTTTTACGGAATGATGTCATATCGACAAGTGCAGTGCAATCAGTGACTTGTTTATACCTTGCTATGTGTGATTTAACTAACAACAAAAACGCATGTTATAGTAAGTTTTGATGTAGTTTAATTGTCTCCTACAGTTTCAAATCACAAATCACTTCATTTTGATGTATTTGTAAGGATTGTTAGTTTCGTGTGATGTCATAGTTAATATTTCCCGTAAAAATTAGGCCCCGCCTCCTTTTCGTAGCTTTAACAGTGCTGCGTACCTCATAATATTCAAAATTTAAAATAGATTTTTGAATTTGAGCTGATAAGTAACATCCACAAATGAATGAAAAACGTATAAAACAGAGAATTTAATATTATAAACCTACTGTATTGGCAGTGTGCCCCTTTGTAGCCTTCTTTACACTGTGGACAGATTCCTGACTCTATGTTACAGTACTGTGAACAGCTTCTTCTACAGGAAGTGGCACAATCAGGTCCGTACCGATATGGGTTAGAACAACCTTGTTTAATTTTCAAAGAAAGAAATATGAGAAAACTATATTTGGATTGCATTTGTTTAAAAAGATTCAGCCAAAACATACTGGTAAAAGAATTGATATCCTCCTTGGACTCCGTATGTTACACTTTTAATTCTTACCGTAAACTTCAACTTCACAGAGTTCACTGAATGCGAATTTGAAATACCCACTAGGATAATTAGCTCCCGGAAGTCGCTCATTGTAATAAATTACATACTGTCCATGTACAGGACAGCTTATGTTTACAACAGCTGGTATGGTGGCTCTGGTGTAGTTTTTGTCATGAAAACAAAGGTGTCCTTTACTCCTGTCTGTCGTATTCGACACGTAAAAATAGAATCCCAAAAATCTAGCCGTATAATCATTTTTCTCATCTACAAATTAAATATATTTCCCCTATTACATAAGCATTATGAACTATGTTTGGAAAAAAATAATACATAGATAAATCCAATATCGTTGCTTACTTCCCTATGATTTATAAACGGTATACTTGCTTGGTCTGGCATCTTCAAAAGAATATAATATAACATAGCAAGTACAAACGGCATATTTTTTGTGTTGTACATACTCCAGTCAAAACCATCCGTCCTGTAGTAGATCACAATGTGGTGTATACTTCTGATGCTGGTAAGATTCACCCACCACGTGGCGTAAGTTTGTCCGCCAGCTGATATACTGCACTGTTTTGTATGGTAATCACAAATTGATTTTAATCCATCAACAGCTAAAGTAGAGTTAACAGTGTTGTCATGAGATGTGCTTTGCCATGTAGGTTTCTTGTAGGCCAGATTATCTACATTTATAAACAAATTATTATTTAAGAGTAAAAATGTTTTAATGTATTGCAGGAAATACGTGTAATCTTTTGCCCTGATTTGTATGCAGTAATTGATATAAAATGTGCATCTGATTTTATTCTTTTAGCAATTTACACTAAGACTTCTAACAAAATTTGTTGCATAAAAGTCATCATGAAGGAAGTAGAAATAATCAATAAGGGATAATACTATTTAGTTTTATATAAGTACTGTCCAAACATTTTGTATACACATGCCTTTTTTAAAAGAAAGAAAAAAAAAATAGGAAACTGTCTTTTGAATCATTTCCCTTTCTGTTTTGTCAGACACGGACAGAGATGCCGTCACTGAGATGCATGAAACTTGTTTGTCTGTGTAAACAATAAGTGGGACAAGGCACCCCCTCGAATTATATTGCAGGTTGAAATATATCACAGTATTACTTACAGAACTGTTAAACCTTCTTGGAAATTATACTATCTTTTATAAATATTTTTTCATATGTACATAGTCCACGGAAAGACATTTGCATGAAAGTGTAATTAAGTTTAATGTGCCACCGTTGAACTAAATATATGTGTTCGTCGTGAAAGTAGGTTTCAATGTCTACACTACTGGACGAAAAAAGTGCTGAGAATCCCAAATTTTACTGATAATGTTTGATAATTACTGATACGGTGCTGTTGTTGCTGATAAATACTGATATTTACTGTTATTATTACTGTCGTTGCTGATAATTTTAGTTGTTTCTGATAAATACTGATAAATACTGTTGATGTGCTGTCGATGCTGAGATTTACTGATAATTACTGTGGTCATTGTTTTTAATCTGGGAAGGGACTAAAATAGCCTAAGAAATGATTATTTGTTTTAAAGAAAGTATTTTATCAACAAATTCATTACAGTATTCTAACAAAAAAAATTATTCTAGAAAAAAAAAATCACATTTTTTTTTTTTTTTTTTTTTTTGGTTTTCATATTTCATGTATTAATTTTATTATAATCATTTTTACATCATAATGTTAAAATTAGATCATAAATGTTTGTGTTTTTCTTTACCTTTATATTTCTCCTTTCACAAAGTTTTCAATATCTGCAGAAAATAATAATTGTGTTGTTATTGCAGTGGTTTTTCTCCCCAAGTACTTTTTAAAACAAGTTTCTATTTTTAATGGTTAAAAAAAATCCCATCTCATATTTTTTCCACGTGTATTCGTATTGTCATCAAAAGGTTTTAGTGGGCATCTTTAATATAGTCAATGGTTGTTACTGTCAATTTATTTTTTCGTGTGGAGAAGTGAAAATGTATGAGCTTTATTAGTTGAGACCCCCCCCCCCCCCTCTATTTACATACAACTCTCATTCTAAGAAGACACTTTAGCCAGTATTAAATATATCTCACAAAAAAAAAATCTATTCTGATTTTATGTTGTGTACACATTTTCCTTTTATTGAAGAATGTGACAGGTTTAAATAATCAAAATAAAACATCTTTAATTTGTAGAATAATCTCTTTTATATACATATAGCCAGTGCGCTCTAGTTCTCTGATTATGTCCTCGATGCGAATTTGATATCATTGTGTGGTATCGAAGCTTTATATCTTTCGTTTTATATATATATATATATATATTTATTTTAATTGTTAAGCCATCAGTACACTATAAATCTTATGCAGTGTGATTTTCAATCAATAAAATACACGTCTTTCTTTAATTCTTTGGTAATAGTACATAAATCTGCGTTAGGTCTAAGAACATACGTACGCCAGTATCAGGGAGATCAATAAATAACTGCTTATACATGTTATACGCGGTCAGTCAGTTAAAAAAAAAACAAAGTTAAACAAAACTTGAAGTTACTTTCGTCAATTAATGCCGTCTAGCTAAATTGCTGTTCTGGAACACACATCTCAACCAAGTGTAAAAGTTCTACTTTCGTTTTGAGAATCGGGTCAATTATTAGTACATTCTGTGTATCGTGCGACATGAATTTTGTAAAATTAGAAATAGTTTTTTACAGAGATTATAATTTTTTTTTATTCCATTTTCTCCTTGTCGGAGACCTTTGTATAAACAAACAGTACAGGCTGGGCGCTTACCGAATTGATTATGCTTTACTGTAGCACAAAAAGGGGGTGGGGTGAAATACTGTTAACTTAAAACTGATACGCGCAAGGTTGATTCTTTAGTTTTATGTTTGATAAATCATACATGTTATAATTACTTATTACAAATTTTTTATATACATGAATAAAATTATTTTAGAGAATCAATGAACTATACCAAATTCAGAACTAACATTTATTCATGAGTGCGATAAACAACGTCATGTTACTGTCATTCAAAATTCATAAAAAAGATTTTTTTCACGGATTCTGAGCGATGTGGAGTTTAATTCCCTGTTTCTGAATTGTGAACAGTTAATGCTAATATAATATCAACAATTGCTTTCACTAAACCATCTTTTTTTTTTTTTTTTTAATTTATATGTACATTTTGCATATTTTTTTAATTATAAGATGAATTACGTATGTTCCGTATCAATTTTCTCCGTTTCACGGGCCCCAAACCATCGTTAACCGAGATTCAGAATTGAAAATACATGTAGCCCCCTCCCCGGGATTCTCTTTTAAATTTATCTCAAGCATGTCAAGAAATGTGCATAAAACTAACAAATAAAATTAAATACTTAGCAAAGATAGATTTATGTGAATTAAAATAATGATTGAATATTAAGTCTGTACAATGTATATGTATATATTAACTTCATTTCTTTTTTGTCTTTTATCTTAGTACTGCAATGTCCTATTTTGCTAAATAGTTTTTTTTTTTTTTCAATTTTCAATTTTATTCGTCAACAAATTGAATATTACAGGATAATTTTTTTTCCGTGCGACCGTCAAGATTTTCCTGCTCAAAGAAGAAAGTACATGATTGTACAGTGTAGGTAGTTTGTTTATTATGTACACCGGTGGCCACAGACGGGGAACAATAGGTAATTAGTGCCCATTGTTACGCTGACCACTACAATTTACATGGAATATACAAGTTGTTCCCCGTTCTACCCCGGGGCGGAAGAAATTGTACACAATACAGCCAAATCAGAGACTGATCTTCGATTTTTGATCAATGAAGATCAATTTATTCCATGCAATTTTGACCACACAAGATTAAAATTGATCAATTTGATCATATACATGTACTTTACTAAGTAAACATATTATATTAGGTCTCATTTCTTATTTCACATTCCAAAAAATAAAATTAATGAAATTTTAAAACTTATTGAATAAAAATGTTTCGTTTCATGAAATTTTAAGAGACCAACATCAAAATAACATAAACACATGTGTACCTTTGCTCTGACACTGGTGATTCTGACAATGCACTAATTTTTAAGAGCCATTCTCTGTAATGACTTTAACTTTTATATAGGAGCCGTGGCACGCATAGTCTCAGAATTTCTCCAAACTCTCTATGATAAAAGTCTTTGATACCGTAAACTCAAATCAGGCAAAAATTGGTTGCTACGTGTTATGGTTACCATAGCAACATGTCCTAAAGTTTGAAAAATGGCATTTTCCAACATGTTCAGAGTCCCACAGTTAACGTTTGCAGCAAAGCAAACAAGTGGCAATGAGTGTTTCTGAAAGTTGAAGGCCTTATGTCTTAAATGCATGATAAACATGTTTTGTAAATCAACTATTACATACGTTACTATGGAAACAAAGTATTCAAAAGTAATAATTTTGTTCATTTAATTTTATAAAGTCATACACTTAAGAATAAAAACAATTATAGGTTGAAATGCAAGCAAATAATAGACGAGAGATTCTTGTAACATATACCAAGGACGAAATATAATATTTTTTATAGGTTGGCAATGGTTGCCATGGTTTTAATACCACAAAGTTATTTTAAATTTACTTTTTTAGTGATTTAATCTTATCATATCTTTTTAGCATATTTCTACATAACTGATGATCAATTTTTAAAGGCGCTGGGGTGACTCTAATTTTCACATTTCAAAAAATTAAATTCAATTCTTTAAATTGAGCGTTGCTATGGAAATGAACCGAAAAAAATATGCATAAAAATCTGAAAAATATTCTGTTTCCTTGGATACGTACCGTTGTACATAGATTCCCAAAACTTTTATGATTAATATATATGAACAACTAACCCGAATTTCATTTTTGACTACCACCCAATCTCTAACTGGATGCAAAAAGCTGGCACATAGGATTTAAGACTGATATAAAATTAACAAAATTGAACATTTTCCCTTCTTGGTAACCATAGCAACAGTGTTGTATTTTTCAACAAACTTTATCAATAAATGATATTCAACTTTAGTTCTACCAGATAGGTACTGTTCAAGGTGAGTCAAATAATATGTTTCTTGATTAAAAGTTAATTAAATTCCTAAAGCAGCAAAAAAATATCACTTTAAACAACTGGTACGTTGTTTCCATGGTTACACTGCAAAGTAACAATTTATCCCAATATTTCTTATGTTGTTGGTGTTGCAAGCTCCTGAGGATGTATTTGTGCCAGTCATGAATTTTATTGTTTTTCCTCAAGATAGTAGCATTAACCCAATCTTAGCAACATATTTTGCATGGTTACACTGTGTTACCGTGGCAACCATGAAAGTTATTTTTAGAATAATATTGCCAATACCTAATTACTTAATTTCAAATATTTTTATTGTTTTTCTTTGGTTGTTGATTGAGTTTGATCATGTAACATCTATCATTAGTGAATATTGAGTGGTTTTCAGCATTTTTCAGCATCTAAAATATATTCCAAATGTACCCATGGTTACCACTTACTTAGTGATAAATTCTAAATAGTTTCTTTATAGCATAAGTGGCAACAAGGTGTTATGTTTTTGTGAGAATAGTTTGTTTGTTTTTCTTAGTCTTAATTAAGGCTTAATAAAGATTCAAAGTAGCTGAAAATCTCAATTTTTCCAACTTTTCTGGCTGTTACCATGGCAACCAAGACACATAGCAACGAAATTTTATTTGATATATGTTTTTGGTGTCAAGTTGTAATAATGGGCAAAGTTTCATCAAAATCGGTGACCATGCGTGGCAAAGAAGTTTAAGTGGTTACAGAGAATCGCTATTACATGTAATCAGCCCCCAATCTGCCGGTTGCACATGTATGTATCGTGTACATGTAGATGTAGAAGAGATATTCTGGAAGAATCTAAAATGCCTATACGCAGCTAGGTTAAGGACGCCCATGAGATATACGCCTTAATATATTCAGGGAAAATGAATACAATTTTAATATTTTTTTAACAGCATTACTTTTGATAAATATTAATTGTGGTGTTTGCACTTGTATATATCGAGTCTCTTCTGATTTCGGCCAATTCGACATCGTTTATATCAGCTGTTTGTTACGTGACAGATTTAAAATTAGAACATATATGTAAACTACAAAGATCGTAAATGTTCAACGATATGCGGGCATCTTTCCGCTATGAAATTGATTGTGTTTTCTTTGAGACAAATTCCTTTATTCGAAAAGTGTTGGGAGCAACTTCCTCATGCTCGGGAATTGTTTAAAATTTAGCCGTCTTTCTATCAACTCCAGAAAAAAAATTTAACACGCATTGAAATAATGTTACATTACGGAATAAATAAACAATGCACAACCATCTCCCAACACTTTTCAGAATAGTACGAATAATAGCTACACGTGTTTAAAAATTCAGAATTTATAGTGAAGCCGATATTGTTGAACTTTTGATATTTTCGAGGGGCTGGACCTGTCATTCTAGCACATTACTGTACAAATGTGCTCGCTACAGCTATATATAAAGTCTACACATTATCAATTTAGTTTGACAATAAAATGTGGATTAATATATTTTTTAGAATATGTCCCTCTTTTGGTCCTACTAAGCGTGTTTCGTTTTATTTTTATATTTACAAGCTACGATTAAAAGCTTGATCCAGACCTCAAGTACAGAGAAACTGCGTGTCAAAATAAGTAATGACGTCATCTTAGTAAGTACAGCGAGATCAAGCAGGCTTTCAATCTACTTACTCTAAGTGCTATTATGACAAGATAAGTTGCACACTCATTTATCTTTATAGTATTTATAAGAAACGAACGTATTTAGTAAGCTTTATAAAGAACATATAGCATTTATTCATCGAGATTCATTTGTATTGTTTTAACGTGACGTCATAATAGCTTTCCCGAACTTCTGCATAGGCTGACGTATATATGGGAGTCCTTAACCTAGCTGCGTATTACGTTCAAATAAATGAATGAATGAATGAATAAATAAATAAATAAAGAAAAAAATAATCTGTGCCTCCAGATTGAACATATCCACCTCTGTTTTCATCTCTTTATTAAATTTAAAAATGCATAAAATTTCTAATTTTCGGGCAAATTTTCAAATATCTTGACAGAGACCAGAAAACCGAACATTTAAAAAATGTAAGAAATAAATGTCTTTGAGAAAGAAAAAAACAAAAATAGCTATAGGAAAGGTCATCTTTAAAAAGAAAATGTCGTTCTCTCTTGACCAGTTAACGGAGTGAAACCGTGCGAATCAAACTTTTCTAACCTGCAGGAAATATTTTTTATCCCGATTTTTTTTTCCACCCATTAAGAACTATTTCTTATTATTGAAAAAAAAACATCATCGACCTCCCTACCCAAATATCTTGGAGTTGGGAGAGGGCGGCGATGAATCTTTTTTTAAAAGATAGCCTTATTTTCTTTTTATTAACAGTACATTAATAAAATTCCATTTATCTTGCTTACAGATAAATTATACTTTTTTCATAGATTGGTAGAAAACATTTGCTTAATATACGCGGAAGGTTTCATTTATTTATTGTCAACATTTTCACAACCATATTGTAGTAAATGAGATCAGCGTAATTTTTGTCACTAGCAGAACATTTAAAGAAATATGAAAATGTCGTAACGGTAATTTATAATTAAAAGAAAGAAATAATTGAAGGTTTTTACAGCCCTCAGTTCTTCCTTAGCCCTTCCAACCTTAAGAACAAAGACCACAGTAATTATCAGTAAATCTCAGCATCAACAGTATTTATCAGTATTTATCCGACTCAACAGTAAAGACGACAGTAATTATCAATATTTATCAGAAACAACTAAAATTATCAGCAACGACAGTAATAATAACAGTAAATATCAGTATTTATCAGCAAGAACAGCACCGTATCAGTAATTATCAAACATTATCAGTAAAAATTGGTATTCTCAGCACATTTTTCGTCCTGTAGTGCTAATTAGCCGGACTCATTGCTCGTAGAGCAATAGCCGGCTTATGTTACGGTGTTCAACAGGAAATGCTGCTTCCTCACCTCCAAATCAAATTTACGAGCAAGAATATAGTACGTATGCTCAACCACCTTTGAGGCAATACAAACACTAAATTAAACACATTTCAGTTAACTAAGAAATTCTCTAAACAAAAAAAATCATTAATGGAAATATACTTTCTCCCCTTTTCTTTAATTAATTATTTGAAAAATATGCGAAAGATTTTCATCAGGTCTCCGTGTCTGTGTCACATTCTATAAATAAAGGTTGTGTAACCAGGCTAACACAAATGCGGTGAGCACATGACCCGATGTACACCTTTATGCAAAACTCCCCGCAGAGGATTCGTCTGTGCATAAACGTTTTACCTTGCTTCATCAATGTTTATTTACTTCTGTAATTGGTATACGGCCCCGAAACGATACATGTGATAAATTATTTACGTTGTTAAATTAAAATTGCATTTTATTTCATTTTTTAAACATTTTTTTTAATTCATACTAAATGCAATAAATATATTATTTATGTTACATATTCTTCCCAGGCTCATTGCTCGTAGAGCAATAGCTGGCTTATGATACGGTGTTCAACCGGAAATCCTACTTCCTCATCGCCAAATCAAATTTACGAGTAAGACTATAGTACGTACGTTCAACCACCTTTGAGGCAATACAAACACTTAATTAAACAAATTTAAGTTACCTAAGAAATTCTTTAAACAAACAAAAAACATTAATGGTAATAAACTTTCTCCTTTCTTCTTCAATTAATCATTTGTTTAAAATATGCGAAAGGTTTTCATCAGGTCCCCTGCCTGTGTCACATTCTATAAATGAAGGTTGTGTTACCAGGCTAACACGAATGCGGGGAGCACATGACCCGATTTACACCTTTATGCAAAACTCCCCGCAGAGGATTCGTCTGTGCATAAACATTTGAACTTGCTGCATCAATGTTTATTTACTTCTCTGTAGGTGGCCAGATAGACACCGGTTTGCACCAGAAAAAGCGAAGTATATGTCACCACAACAATTTTTCCAGTACATGTATTTTACCTTACAATACAAGGGATATACATAAGATTTGTCCATAAATCGTTTGTAGAAATTCTTTCGCAGAAGCCTGTACTGATATTACCTCCTGAAAAACATATACAACAATGAACAGAAATACAAGTGACCTGGGTTGAGAACATGATCGTGAGCTTGACCCAATGTGGACTCAACCACATGCAGATGGGGAGGTTTGTTTTCTTTTGTTTTTTTGTTTTTTTTTTGTTTTTTTTTTATGGGAGGGTGCAAACGAGAATACAATTTTGGTGTTTATTTAGTAAGGAATGTTTCATTCAAAGGCTGTTAATTTGCCCCCTCCATGTTTTTTTTTTTTCATCGTGTAGGGCAGTAAATGGAGATAAATGATTATTTTTGGTAGTGAAAGTAATGGAAATCAAACAGTTAAAATCCTTTTTATGCCCTGGTTGGATAATTAATTGTAAGTTTAGAAGCCAATGTTTATTTTGCATTTGCAATGAAAAGTATAAAATCTTTTGGAAGGGGGATCGTGGTATAATTTTTTTTTTAAAGATTTTTTTTTTTCATTGAAGGGAAAAGTGGAATGGGGATCTAAATCTAAATCCATGTCTACAGTAGTGAGTTATGTTACACCCCCCCCCCTCCAAAAAAAAAGGTTTTAAGATTTTTACCGCAGCATGAACGTTTGATAATTTCCTTAAATTTACTGCAAACAGTTGGATTTTGCATGTGTATTTTTTATTTAGAAACAGATAAACCTTTGTTTTAACACTTAATATGACTACGTCAACATAATCAATACATAGGGCTCACAGTGTGACCTGTCAACCGGGAATGCCTACTCTTCCTAGGGACCTGATTCCATCTCTGGAATTTCCGATGTTCCGTGTTTTTGTCCTGTTCACAAGTTTCTATTGTTTGTAGATTATCCCTCATTGCCTAACCCTTTACAGATTAGACGGTACTACAAGTATGTGTATAGAAGAAGCTGGAAAAGTTGAATCTACTTCTAAGAGATACATAAATCGGGGCGAGTATGTAAAAGATTTGCCAGAACATCGCGCGATAATAGCAAAATGTGCTATTGAATATAAAATCTGCCATTTTACTATTTTTTTAAACGTTGTTTTAAATATTAATTGAAGTACAATCAGAAGTATCCGGAAACTTACCTAAGCGCTCTATAATTTTGGTAAAACTTGTGTTTTTTGAATATAGAAATCAACCGAAAACGGATTTCCCCCCCCCCCCCCCGTGAAACTAATTTCCTTTTTACTGCGATTAATTGTTATTCAACAAATTCATATCAACGCTTTTGTTGTTTCGCGGGGGGGGGGGGGGGGGGATTTGGGGGTTATGTATAAAACAAAAATATGTTTATTATTTTAAATGAGTTAAACATAAGGAAAAGTAAAAGATCTGTTATCTATATCCATGAGTATTTTAAAAATCTGAGTACTATTTTAAAATCTTTTGATGTTTTAAAGCCTGATTTCAATGGATATTAAGAGCAATTAACAATTTGGTACTGGTATTCATATTATAATTCAATCGCTATTGAACTCTTGTTAGCATTAACCAAAACAATAATGGCAAAATTTTCATTTTTATTGAAATAAAGGGGTGTAATTTGTTGGCTGGAATCGCGTTTGTGTGCGTAGTTCTTTTCCACACCTTCCCCTTGTCCCTCTTTTAAAACCTTATGTTGAACTAGTGATATTGTAATATTATATGTTCGAATCCATAACAGGGTTTTGTGAATTTTCTGATTCAGATCGCTGGAACCAGGCAAATAATTTTATTCAATGATGAAACTCTTCTTAAGTAAATTGGGCCCAATTGATGTAAAAAGCGACTGGGTATTATTTCCTTAAAACACATGGGTTTTTCCAAAAAGAAAAAATGTATTTAAGGCTAGCTATTTTCAAAGACAGTGTTTAGCAATACCTCTCCACCCCTCCCTTCGACCGATGTTTTATAGATGTCAATTTTTATAACGTTTATATTTGTAATTTTAATGCGTATCATTGTGTTGAGATCATAAAAAAAAAAAAAACCCTTAATAAGTCGCCTTCTCCAAATTCCTATTTTTGTAACCATGGCAACACCGTTTATTGAAATAAAAATGATAAAATAAAGAATTGTGTATTTAAGTATATTCTATCTGTACTCCAAATTGTATTGAAATCGGACAAAAACTGTAGGAGTGAAAGCGATTTGAAAATTGCTTCCGACAATCAGACAGCTAAAGCCAAAGATGACGACATTGTGTAATTGTATAAACTCTTTCTATCAAATAAAATTGACCAGTATAATTAAAAACTAATTGACTTCATGTGTTGTTTTTATAATATCACTTATATCCTCTGTGAAGTATTATTTGCAAATTTGTTTGTATTTCTTGGAAGAAAAAAAGAGGAATTAACAAATAATTATTTCAAACGAGACTGTTGATATTCTTCTTTCATCAACGTGTCTGTCAATACCTTGCTTCGTTTTAGAAATTGTTAGTACGTAGACCATACTCTTGCATAGCGAATTAACTCGAGGACATAAACCAATAAACAGGTTATAAGAGTGTATTGTTACTTAAGTAAATTAAGGAAGTGGACAATGGTAAAGTTGAAGTGATCACCTTTATCGTAAAGTTTTGTAGTTAGGTTACAATTAACGCCTTTTTCTAGCAAAATATCCAACTATGCAACAGATGTGTTAGACTCTGTGGTATCTTTTATTTCAAGTTCACTGGACTATATCGAGTCCATATATGAATGAAAATAACTATTGTTAATTGATAACACATCGTCCATATATCTTAATTTCGAATAAAAAGCCACAGCAAGTGTCTTCTTTTCAAGTATACGTATAGATCATATAATGGAACCCGCTAAGAACATATTATACTTATAATAAAGACTGGTACAGAACATTATTTACTTACCGTATGCTTGAGAAATTGTAAAAACACAAAGCAGGAGAAGAAATGCAAACATGATTATTCAGAACGCAACGGTTGTATTCAGAAAGCAATGGTTGTCTCACTATATTAACAAGGAAGAAGGAACATGAAACAGATTATATCTGCTTACTGCACAGCAGCTGTTTGTGATCCACATAAAGTCCTCTTATCAAAAGGTTAAGTATAATTGCTACATACTGATATATTTCCCTACTGCATCATAAAGATAAGGAAATAATAACTTAAGATCTTTAAAAAATGCCCCACGTTAAACTGAGGAAGAGGACCTCTGCAGACAGTGTTCAATATGGATGCTGTTTTAACAGCTGTATAGCATACGTTTTGAGATTGAGTATATAAAGGGGTGTTTTAGACTATATGATAACGAATGAATATATGATATGAATAAAAGAAAATAAACCATCATTTTCAAAACAGACATGGATTGTAATACATCATAAGCAAAATGTATTCTAATCAGTTGTTCATGTATGGTATGTTTGTTTGTAGTTTTGTGTTGTGTATGTGTGTGGGAGGGGAGGGAGGGAGATTAACACTACATTTATAAATTAAAATGTGATAAAATTGTCTTTTTTTTTCTTTCTTTATTTTCAAATAAGCATGGGGAATATTAAGCAGTTTATACTCCATTCGCAAAACTTTCCTATTTTCAGACATTTTTCACATCAGTATATAAAACTTGATCCTTGAAATGCAAACATAAGCATACCCACTCCAATTTTTCTCTCTACCATTCCTTTTCACATGTGTTTCACATCACTATTCAAACACGTATATTACATTGTACTTCATTTACTTCTTAATAATATTGTAGAATGAGGAGCAATTACAACACTTCATATTTTTGTGTTTATCAAAAATTTCCTTATACATATCAACTTTTCGCAGGATTGTGTCTCATGTTTCTTTTCTGTTTTATGAGATGAAAATTAAATGTGTTCGTTGAATGCGAGAACAATACTGAATGAGAAAGATGAAAAAAACTACATTTCATTTTTTTTAATTCATTTTTATCAGGGATTCTTTGGTAGCAAGGGCACTCGTTATAATTGTTATCCTAAAAACGCTTTGATGTATGTCCATTTCCTCCGAAAATATACTCAGTGTTTGAATTTCTCGCTGGACTATATCGTCACATTTTTATTAACGTCTCTGTAGCCTCATTGCGACGTCACTTTTTTTTCTTTTTTTTTTTTTTTTTTTTTTTATTGAGATTTTTGTATCGTTAAGATTTATTGCTATCAAACTAAAACTGTAGGAGAAGTAGCCTTTTAAAAGAATTTTACAGAAATTTCTATTTTAGTAACCATGGCATCATCATTCAACAAAATAAAAAAAAATACAGACAATTTTGTATCTTATTGTAGTCTACTCATGTGCTAAAATATACTGAAATTAGACCAAGACTGTAGGAGGAGTAGCGTTTTAAAAGTATTTCCCAAAAATCTCTATTTTTTAGTAATCATAGCAACATCGTTCATGGAAATCAAAAACCGATACAGAGAATTATGTATCTTAGTGTAGTCTATTTGTGTGTATAGGTTATATTGAAATCAGACAAAAACTGTAGGAGGAGTAGCGTTTTGAAAGTACTTCTCAGAAATCTCTATTTTTAGTAACCATGGCAAAACCGTCCATCGAAATCAAAATCCGATACACAGAATTATGTATATTAGTGTAGTCTACTTGTGTGCCAAGTTATGTTGAAATCAGGCAAAAACTGTAGGAGGAGAAGCGTTTTGAAAAATTGTTTACAGACGGACAGACAGACAGACAGACGGACGGACGACGGACACCTTACTATCGCATAAGCTCTTCTGGTCTCTGACCAGTAGAGCTAAAAATAGCTTTCAAATCAATTTTACAGTTGACTTCGTAGAAAAACACAGCAAATGTAAATATTGGTGTGTAAATCACAGACTTGTCACTTAGGCATATTACACGAAGCGCGCTAGCGCTTCATGAAAAATATGCCTATGTGCAAGTCTGTATGATTTACACACACACAATTCACACTAATCTTTAAAACATTCCTTATATTTACACTTTACATGTTTAAATGCAACAAAATATACTCAATGTTAATATTTCTTGTTGCCCCATATCGTCATGTTTTATTAACGTCTCTGTAGCCTCATTGTGGCGTCACTTCAGCCCGAATTTCTCCCTGTATATTTCTACGCGTGAGTATACACAAAAATGGCTTTCAAGTCAATTTCACAGTTGGTTTCGTAGAAAAACACAGCAAATGTAAATACTGAACTATGAATATCATATTAATTTCTAATTTCATGTAAGCTTATGGATCGTTTTTACCGTTATTTTTAATTTCATTCCCGAGACTATAGAGTCAAGATATATTCCGAACAGACCTGTCGTCACTTAAAAAAAAAGCAATCGCTAAGTGGTTAGTCGAAATGAATAAACTACAATCACAACTCGAGAAAAAGAAATACCGACTTTTTATACCACCATAGGCCACTTGTTTTTGAGGTGTTAGCGGATCATATAACATTGATCGCAAAGAAGTACTTCTAAATTCACTTCACCTGGGTAATTTTGAAATGATGATATAAGTTGTATAGCATACTATCCTTACCATATAGGAAGGGATGTTAAGAATGAGAAAGGTAAATCGATTTTTAAATTGTTGTCGATAGAAAGAAGACTAAAAATCCTCCATCAGAATCGCCTTCTTCAGACTCTTGACGGAGTGATCCCAATTCAATAAATCACAAATTTAAAGGAAAAGGAGTTTATATAATCTAATTAAATAAGAAAAGAGTATCAAAGTTACACTAAAACAATTATTTGATGCTGAGTGTCCTTGTTAAAAATCAAGTAAATTCGCACAAAAATCTTTTGTTCACATCTACCCATTCAATAAAACAATACGTTATTGATTGAAGTATATTATCTGATGAACTCTGTAGATAGTCATTAACAGCTTTGTAGA